TCTAAGGAAATGCTATCCATCTTTCCAGTCAAAGCTCCACTCACTAGTATTACTTCAAAAGATATGCCTTGAATACCTTATCCTCATGCAGGGTGCTTTGTATTCTACAAAATAATTAATTGTAAGGGACAAAGGCTACTATTACTCCCACTCTGCACATGGCGACACTGAAGTGACAAAGTTTAGGTAACTTGTTCAAAGTCCTGCAGTTTGCTAGTGGCAGATCTGGGATTTGAACTTAGGTTGAGTACTACAGTAATAGCATCTTATGTTCTGGAAATATAGAATATGTTCTTAATTAATCTTGAGTTATTAATGATTAATTCTTGACTTTATTCACAATTCATAGTTGGTGCTTAGTAAATATGTGCTGAATGAATGGATAAAATGAACGAATGCTTATTGGATCCAGCTTGGCAATTTACGTGAAAACAGCAGTTACTGCGTGCAAGATGAAATGGTTATATTATTTTTTTTCTAAGAGCTACAACTCAGTGTTTCTGGAAGCTGTCTTTATTGCCCACTGAGAATTTTAATCAGGTGAAACAAACCGTGCCTGACAACTTACCTTAGTTTGCCATTAGTCCACGAGGTGGCAGTATTCTTTCAAAAAGCATGAGAAACCTGCTTTTCGGCAGCCCTTTCTCTGAATCAAGTTGGTGTTCCTAAGGAGGAAGGTGAGTTCTCTCAGAAAACAACCAAGATATTTGATTATTGCTATGTTGACAAAGTGGGTTCAAAAGCCATCTATAATTATTAGGTGCTAACCAGAAATATGGACATAAATCTAAAGTCCTCTTTGAATTAAAGATTAAGCTTTTCAACAATGTAGAATAATGGAAAGAACATGAGCTTTATAGTCTGGGGCAAGTTCCTAGCTGCTCTGGGCCTCAGCTTTCATATCTGTCAAATGGGCTAATATTATCTCCCTTGAAGGATTGTTGTGAGAATAAATGCAATGACATAAAAAAAAAAGTCTTATCTGCTTTACTATGTTTTTCACACATTTGTGAGTACAGACAGTCTACCTGCTTTTCATGAGAAAAGCTTTTTCTTAGCTTTTCTGATTATTAACATCATTTGGATCACTTAGATAAGAGTTGAGTTGAAGTGTTCTTTTACTAGCAGTCCCCGAACTTTATGGCACCAGGGACCAGTGCTCCTATGAGAATTTAATGTCTGATCTCAGGTGGAGCTGAGGTGGTGATGCTAGTGCTGGGGAGCGGCTGCAAATACAGATGAAGCTTCTAGCTCACCTGCCCACCTCTCACCTCTTGCTGTGTGTCTTGGTTCCTAACAGGCCTGGGGGTTGGGGTCCCCTCTTTTATACTATTATAAAGGGTGTTTTTAAAAATAAATCATAAACTATGAGGGTGTGACTGACTTGAGACAGACTGCTCAGAGGCATTTTGAAAGTAAATGATTTGATCTGCAATATATACAAATAAGACATTAACCATTCATGAAAGTAAGATGTTAAGTTCCATTGAATTATTAGTGTAGAAATTTCAAATAGAATTGTTTATATTTTTAAATATATTAATTCAGACTTTCTTTTGTTTAAATTAATTTTCTTAGCTCAGACTGTGTGATGATCTTATTGACCAAAAGGTTAAAAATATATACTGTGTTAGTTTAACGAGGGTTGACAATTTTCTATAAACATTACTGTAAAACACTGGACTCATAAGAAGTGGTTTTTTTTCAAAGTTTTTAAAAATTTGAGATATAATTGACAGATAACATTAGTTTTAGGTGTACTAACAGATATAGTCTTGAAAAAGTGTTCCCAATAAAAAGAAAAAATGCCTGCATCAGAAGCAGTTTCCTCAGAGGAAACAAGTAGAAAGCAGTGGTCAGATTTTTTTTCTTTTATTATTGTCTACTTTTGAATAAAAGCTTTTGAGGCTCACCTCCCTAACCCATTCTTCCAACGAGAAAAGATGTTGATAGTAACAAAGGATTGAGAAAGAACAAAATAGACAATTGCAATGAAATTTATTGACAGCCTATGTGAATTTCCTTATTCTATAATTTCTAAGAGAATACTGTGAGCTAATACACATGGTTTTCTACCATAAAATCATTACTCATAGTCTAGCAATTTTATTTACTTGGAGTATGTTATTTAAGACAGTGTAAGTCAGTACATTGTTAATGATAGGAAACTGTAGTCAACTTGTAAAGAAGATTATGTAGAATTCTGCTTTAACTAAGTATAAGGGTGATAAAAACTGGAAAATTATAGACAATAATAGTATCTAAATCTAATATGCTTACTAAGGCACTATTCTCACCAATGTACATATATTAACTTATTTAATCTTCACAACAACTCAGGTAGGTACTATAACTATACATTAAAATTACTTTCTTTTGCAAATACATATTTCTGTACCATGTAAAGTTAATACAAATTAAACAATTAGCAACAATGTGGTGACTGTGAGGTGATGGATGTGTTAGCTTGATTGTAGTAATCATTTCATTGTATATGTTCATCAAATCATGTTGTACGCCTTAAATATATACAATTTTTATTGTCAATTATACCTCAGTTAAGCTGGAATAAAAGAATGGGCCACTTAAAAGAAAAAGCCAATATTTGACAAAACTTTATATAAATATATTTTAAAAGCTGGATTACATGGATGCTTTTCTTGACAATATAAATGAACAAAATAGGTCCCAGAGAGACAGAAAATTCACACAGAACAATGACCAGGGAAGAAATTGAGAAGGTAATCTGAGAAACTCTGGACTCAAATGTTTTATTAGTGAATTCTTTCAAACTTTCAAGGAATAGAAAATTATAATGCATTTAAACTAATCTAGAACTTAGAGAAGAAAACTTCCAACATCATTTTCTGAAGCCAGCACAACAAATGTCGACCTGACCTCTTTTTGGTACTATTGTTCAAAGTATCTGCCATCCCTCTTGGGGGACAGGAAATAGTTCTTCACGCCAGGGACATCTGGCTTACCTCTAGGACTTGAGGTAAGCCAGATCCTGTGGTAGAATTATATATCCCCACCCCGTGGAAGTCAGGTCAGATCTTGGACTATACAATAAGGGCAAAAGTGACATCGTGCCACTTAATAAGTGGAAGCTTTTAAATCCAGTTCATGCTTCACCTGATCTCTCTTCTCTCTTGCCATGACCACCAACAATGTGCCAGATAAGCTGTTTTATCCACCTCATTCCAGAGGGAAGATGACATGGAAAAGAGACATAATGGACCTACAGTGGACGTATGAGATGAGTAAGAAACTGTAAGCTACTGAGATTTGGGGAGTTTTTATCACAGCATAACCTAGTTTACTCTGATACATTCGGCTTCCCTACAAAAGAAAACTATAAACTAAATTTATTTATGAATGCCGATGTTAAACTCTCCAATTAATAAGAAAAAGATTTTATACATACACTGTAGGAATAATATATCTCCAGCTAACACCTCGAAACAGGTATGTTCCCCACCGAAGACTTGGAGACCTCCCATTTTATCTGTGTGTGTTCCTAACTAAAGAAAATCCCATGTTATATGTATTAGTTTATAAAATATGAAAGCAACTTTGTCCCCTAATCTGTTATGTCAGGATCAAAAAAGAGTTAAAGATTCAAAGGCTTCATGGTATCAAAAACACCGTTAAGTGGGAAAATGTGTCTCAGAGATGAGAGATGGATGAAGAATACGTCAAATGAAAGTTCCCAGGGCCCATTGTCTTATAAAATTTCACGGCGCAGTGCTCTCTATGACGGCATAGGAAATGGATATTCCTCCTATTTCCAAGTGGAGAAATTGAAGTAGTTAGTAGGGAAGCTCCTGATGTGGTTTTACTTGCTGATGTTTTCTTGTTTTGTTAAAAATAAATCTGCCATTGCCTAAGTCAGTAATTTTCTAGTGAAGATTATCTAATGGAAGCTTATTTTTTTCCTTTAAGTAATAGTGAGTGTGATGACTTCTAAGTCTTTAAAAGGTGACAACATCAAGCTCTTGGAAGAACCCCAGATAACTAACTGGTTGGCTTTGTAAATGAAACATTGTCTCAGCTATTGGTATAAGCGGGGCATGTGAACAATGATAAATTTTCTTAGAAAAAAGGACATGGAGGTCATTTGATAGAGGAACACAAATTTATTGTTCAACTTAAATAATATAATAGTTCAAATAGTAATATAGATTAGTTCATCTCTGGATTACTTTCTTAATAGAGTATGAATCTCCTGGAAAAACAGGACTGGGGACAGTATTTAAAATTTGGTGACTCAAATAGCAGCTGACATAGAATGTATAACAGAAGAAGTAAGCTGTGATAGGACAGGGATCATATCCACTTTATGTATAAGGTCTGGCATATAAGATGTGCTAAATAAATGTTGCTTGAAGGCTGAATTCTGAGGAGGCAAATGTCAGACTTGAGACGGGGGT